ATTTACATATTTGCAGCCAGTTCTCATTTTTTTTGTAGAGTACGTACACTGCCATAATCATAAATTTAATCAATTTACTCGCTCTTCTATTATCACAAACCAATTCCACTTTTTGATGATAGTCCTAATTGAGTTGTAGGCATTCTGCCTTTTCTCAAACAGGCATAAGAAGAAAAATAAATATCTAAACGAATAAGAGGAAGCCACTTGAGCTCAAATTCCATGATTTACGCGAATGGTGACGCTTTTCGTTTCGAAATTCCGAAAACTGGAAATCCACTTTTCCGCTATTGACGGTTCTTTCGCAGGCTCTCGTTGAAGCCCATTTTGGCTCTTTCTGCTTCCTGCTACTGCCGCTCTTGTTGTAAATAATTGAGTTTCCGGAAAAATTTAAGCTCTACCCGCTGAATGCTCAATGGTGCGGTTGCTTTGGAATGTATCTAGCTGTTATCGGAAGTTGCAGCTTTGGATACTGGTAATTTTTCATTATTTTTTGGTTCTGGTTGGTAGTAGCTCTGTTCGCTTCATGGATCACGGTTTTTAGGATTTGATAAGCTTCTTCTTCTTCCACGTCGCATTTCAAGATTATTGCATATAGCATATTAGCTTATTGCGTGCTCTCAACCTAGTGTTCTAGATGCACTTCCACAGTTATTAATTGAGAGCTTTCGATGCCTGTACTATTTTTGCATTAGTATAATTGTGTGGCTTAAATTCAATCATACTCTATGCCCAGGGAAACGAGAAATTTTACAATCTGAAAAATTCCTAGAACGAACCGGGAATCGAACTCAGCCGCCTACAGCATGGCCTTGCTTTGAAGCTGTGCCTTATCCGACTGATCTAAGGGAGGCCTTTGATAAGCTTATGATTAGTTTATTATATGATGTATGCACGCTAACTTCAAAGTACCAATTAATCAGTGAAATTTCACCCATTCAAAGATAACCTTACATAATTAAATGGGAAAAATTAGCCTCTTTAACAAATCAGGCCACTCCTCACCATGGATAACATTTTACTCGTTAATTGGTTCTTACCAGTTACCGTGTGTATCTCCATTTGTCGCGTATGATAAGCTGCTTAAGTTCGTTTTGATTTTGATTAACAAAGGATAATGAGTGAGGTTAATTGCTACCCATCCACACCCCTCAATGGGTTATTTGTTCAACCCTCGTTCGTGTGCCTCTAACCAAGGGTCACGTTCTGCAGCTGATGTTAAGGATTACATGGCTTCCTTTTTTGTAACAAGCATGACATAAATTACATAGGACTCATATAGCCAAGTCAGTAGTGGCACGGTATTACCAAGGTGGTGGCGGGTTTGATTACCAGTCCAGTGAGGTAATCTGTCGGGTTGGAAATTTTCTCGACTTCCTGGGCATAGAGAATAATTGTGCTTGCCACACAATATACAAATTAAATCATTGGATGGCTTGAAAATCTATCAATTAATAACTGTGGACGTGCATGGAGAACACTCAGTTGCGAGCTGGCACTACAGAAGCGTAAATAGCCTAAAAGAAAAAGAAGGCGGCTGACGGATTTCACAGGGCTTGAAGGGACTTAGTTACATTAATGCTTTTGTAATAAACCAGTTACAGTCCAAATAGGATTGAAAAAAAAAGTAAAAATGTGCCTCGATCTTCTCCAGTTTGCATAATTCCATTCACAGTTTTGAAAAAAAAAAATTCGCCATGTTGGTTCTTGCATTTTGACGTAGGACTACGTCTTTGATTTCTATATGGGGGTACACTTTGTGAAAACCAAAATGGTACATGTAACAAATTAAGAAAGATATTGAACGTTAATAACTCAGCTGCCCCTAGTCCAATTTCAATAATTTTATCACCAATCGATCAAAAATATGGCTACGCATCGCATAACAATGCTTCCGAATGTTGATTTTTAACAAGAAACTATTGAAAAACTGGTAAATGTCCAGCATTGTCCAAAAGCGTCGAATTAACTAACAAATCCACAAATTACCTACATGCATATGCTGCTTCCCCAGCACAGTCGTCAGAGAGTAGTAAGTAGACGAAACAAGTCGAATTGGCATTCGCCTCCGATCCTCGGGCGCGTGCAAATAGGGAGGATGGAATTGCGTAATATTTTGCACACTCATAGCCATACTCAGAACCACACGCAAGCAGCGAGCTGCAGAGCCCACATAAGCAACCATCAAAGGAGGAAGAAGCTGCACTGCTATGTTATGGATCGGAATCAGTAGCTCTTCCGTGAGTCGCTGCGGGTCGGTCATCTATGCCAAGCGTGTCACTCTCGCTCCAAACGACATACAGCTCGACAGTCTAATCCGTGTTGAACACCCAGCTCAGAATTACTCAACCATCACTACAAAACGGTCCTTTTCAGGGCCACAAAAATTTTGTTAAAGAGTGTTATTTGGACATTGGTCAAGGTCATCAGTTCCCGCAAGCAGCAAGGCTCAACCTGTCTATAGAAGGTGTGGGATTGTAGGCCTGAATATATTGGAGCAATTAGTTTTTCCTCGGCTTTCGTTCCGCACGAATCGTTTCTTTCGTTTAATCAATCACCCTTGTAGTGACGTCAAAAAGATTGTTTAAATCGGCGCTTCATATCAAATTTAATTTGGATTTTAGAATTTTTTGTACGTTACCAAAATTTATGAATGATTTGCCACTAAATGTTGAGATAATTTATTGATTATTGAATTATCACACTGTATACCATGAAAAAGCAGCCTGTTTGTGAGTTTTTGCCTGTTTTCAAGTAAGGAGTTATCATAAAAAAAAAAACAAATCGCCAGCTGGTGTTTCCCGGCGACTTTACAAATAAATAAAATCAAACAAAATCATCAAGCAGAACTAGCTAGGATTTGTTTTACTTCATATTTCACAAAATTGCTTTTGAGTGTTAAGACATCGTCTCCCACAAAGTTTACATTTTTCCCTCTACCAACACATACATCAGGGCTAGACGGATTTCCACAGGATCTATAGAATCCACGCAATTTCAAAAAATCAAAATGCACAGCATTACGAAAAGAGGTCAGGTTTCGACCAATAGCAGATAGATTTTAATTCTAAACAAGCCAAACGATTGGAAATTTATCTACCAATCTGCTTAAATGAACACTTAGTTAATTTTCAATAGGTCACTATTGAAAAATACCAAATGTCCAACTGTTGCAATGGTGATCAAAATTATCACCGAATGTCTGAAAACAGCGCATTCCCTAACACCGACTTAAAAATCGAATTCGATGCGGTCCCACTGAACGGTGCTCTTTCAATCACCGTAAGTGGTGGTGTCCAGTCCAACAGCAGCAGTAGTAGCAGCAGTAGCAGCAGCAGGAGTGCTTTCAGCAACAACAACAACGAAAGGCTGCCTCCAAGCAGCGAGCTGCAGAGCTCATATGAGCAACCATAGAGAAGGAGGAGGTAGTCCCACCGCTAGGCTAGGATTGGAATCAGTAGCTCGTCGTGCATTACTAAACCATCACTACAAAACGGTCCTTTTCAGAACCACCATAAATTTGTTAAGAGTATTATTTGGACATTTGTCAAGGTCATCAGTTCCCACAAGCAGCTAGTTATCAAGGCTTAACCTGGTCTCTATAGAAGGTGTGGAATGTATTGGTGAGATTAATCATCGTCCGTCCATTTTCCAGAAGTTCTGGACCAGAACACGCCGGTAGAAAGTGTTAAAAATCCATATAGAATTGGAGAGAAGTGGGAATAATTCACTTTGGGTGTATATTCAGTCACCAGAAAGCCAATATAATCAAATTTGTGAGAAAATTAGCTCTCACGAGTTCAATCTTTCGAAGTCCCTCCTTTTTTGCATATTCCGCACAAACGATACTTTCCGCCCCGCCCCATTCATATAATTCGGAAGGAAATCCTGTGAGGGGTGAATTGAATACACTTTAATACCAAAATGCACAAAACTTAAAAATTCATATATAACAAAAAAAAAAATCAAAATACAGCTTTTAAAGTCGGGTAGATGCATCGAAAATACTCAAGTTGACAGTCCCGTGGATTCTCTTCATCAACTTTCTCTTTGAAATAAATACTACAAATATGATACGCTTACAAATAAAAAACGGAAAGAGTTAAGATAATTGATGATTGATCAATTAAAAGAACTAAATGTTCACATTTGTTCCGTCCACTAGCGGTCCTACGTCAAGCTTTCGCTCGTGCCCCTAGGCACAGACCCTTCTACTTTTTTTTCAAATTGGTGTCTTTAGCATTTTCAATAAATTGTATCATGAAAACGTCACTTCTGATTGAAATGATTTTTGAGACATAGTTGTTTTAAAAAGTTAAGTCTTTTAAAGAAAAATATACTCAGCAATGTTGTTGCATGTCGTTTTGAGTAAAAATTCAAAAATAATGTTTAAGACTGAAATATCTCAAAAAGAATATCTTCAATCTATGTCATTTATTTTTTTTTAATAATGCTCATGAAAAATTAAAACTTTTGGAGTATTTAAACCCATGGACAAGTGGTTTCAAGTTCAGTAGTGACATTTTCGTGCTTCAATTTATTAAAAAAATGACAAAGACGCCATTTTGAAAACCCGAAAATTTGAAAAATCCAAAGTGGCCAATATAAAAAAAAACCCTAATGATTGTCCATAATACACAATTTTGCAAAGTGTTATGCAAATCGAAGAATGTCGGTTTTTTCATCTATTCGTCAACTGGTCAACAGATATTGTTGGTTTATTTTTAATCATCCATGAAAAAACTCACCAGTCCTGCTTGACAATTTGGTATGATGAGAGTCATTTCGGTTTAATATTTAGAAACTTATCCCAAGTTGAAAAAAAATCGTAAAGTGTGCTTCTGAACATCATCCAATATAATATATTAAAAATAGAATTGCAATTTCTACGATACGGATGACCATCACATATTGCCAGTTATTGCAAATGCTGCCCAGCCCGCCATATGCATCTTATCGATTTTCATTTTGCGCTTCTCCCCTTTGATACTTGCTTTCAGATGTGACACCACCTGATTGAATCAATTTGGTCCATTTCACGGCTCGTTGCCCACCGTCATCATCACCATCATCAGTCGGAATCGAATGGATTTTGCCGCCCAGCAGCAACTAATGCAACATTGACTGCCGATAAACCGATGACAGTCGTCAGTTCGGGTAGGTTTTAAAAAAAAGTCAACAATTATAAATAAACCATTTGTTTGCAGGTGATGAACCGTTTTCACATATGTCACGAAACTCATGCTCCATTTGTGTGAGCTGGGGAAGAGGCATTCATGTGACGGGACCGTGAATTATCGTGTGTATCGTTCGTTTGTGATCGAAAGCATATGACTGGGTGGTTGTGGAAAGTATTATAAAATAATTAAATTGTGGAAAATCTCACGTGTGCGTGATCGTTAACTCAGGGTGACAGAGTCAAGCGAATGAACCAGTGGAAATCCAATTAAAAATCCAATGTTTTTCGACGAGCGTGGGCTTCGAGAAGCTTGCAATTATTGTATATATTATATCTCACAGAGGGACAGATCAGTACGGTTGTTGCACATGTGACAATGTTGCCCGATGGAAGTGTAATCTATAATGATATAATGGATGATATGTGGTATCAGGTAAACAATATAATGCATTTTTTAATGGATAATTTTCGAGGAATTTTGTGATCGACAGTGACCGAGATGGAAATCTAGCATTTCAGCCATGCACCATAGTTGACAGTTTCGAAAAAGTACCTCAACTGCATGGTCATACTGATTCATAACCGGTTGATTTTTTATTAAGACTTATGGAACAAAAATCATATCCCTCCTAAATTGTCTTCCACTAATCCTCACAAATCGAAAACAAATACCCTTCGAAATGCCTAAAGACCCAACGCACTGTGCCTGTATGAAATATATGTTTTCCAGGTCATAAATATTAATGTCACCATTCCATTAATACCTCCTTAATCTAATGGCCGGCACTCATCTGTCATGCTCGGTTCGCTCGTAAATAAACTTATTTACGTGCTCCATTTCACCAAGTCACAGATTGTTCCACCGTGCCTGGCCAGACGTAAGACAAAAAACAATGTTGACCCTCAAATGTAACGAAATAAAACGTCACCAATTACAGCGTTTCGGCTGCTATTTTCGTCCCAAATTAAATCCCAACAAAACTTTTCATTGCAGCAATTGTAAAAAATGGGCAGTATAATTCAATTATATTTGCCCCACCACTTGTAATGAAATTACCTAGGTATGGCTTTAAGCATCGGTCAGTGATAACAGTACATAAATGAAAATCCGACTCCCAGAGCCAAGCGAGCTGTGTAGTAGCAGCCATTATAATTATCCTACCAGCCTCAAGCGGAGTCAGCCAGCCAAACTGTGCCCGTAATGTGAGGTTTATATGTAGCCACTTTGATGTCCAAGAGGCAGGAGGAGCACCAGAAATCCCGCGCATAAATATTTATGAAAATTTGCCTCAGTCAGGAGGCGAACCCAATGAAAACAGCAAAATGTGTGTGAGTAAAATTTTCGGAATGCATTTAATAAAAATTACGACACACCAGAGCGGTGATCCACGGCGTACGTAGTTGCGTGGGAAAATGGTATCCATTTGGCATGATTTTCAGTGGAAATTTGTTGCTGTTTGATATACAAGGCAAACAAAATGTTACATCAGAAGTGGTCACTATTGTTGCTGGCATAGCTGCACAGTTTATAGTTAATTACCGCGGAGGTTTATTGATGTTGCCAAGGTTTGCTTTAATGGATTTTCCATCGGCATATTTCAAGTTCATGCAACAAAAATCTATAATCATCGCTTAAAACTATAAGCCGTTGTTGATTGAGTTACGGTAGATTAATCATTTTATTATTAAAATAGATATCCGATCCGATTGTGTGCATTATTTGGAGAGTTAAATATCTGGTTATCTAAACGGATTATTAAATTTAAATGTTTTATATTGATAGAATCCAGGAAATTACTCAATCATATTTGATTTCAGAATCATTCGTGAACTATCTAAGACCAATCAGTTGAAGAACTGATGCAAGACCAAAATGGTGGTGGTGTTCGGTTCCTGATCCGGTCTGGGAACTTTTGGGATGTAAAGCTTTTCGATTTGTCTGGACATAAGGTGTCATTGTGCTTGTCACATAATTTTCTAACGATACACCCAACTGCGAAATCTAAGATTCTACACAGAAAAAAAAATAATTTTAATAATACATCCAAGAGGATTTACTTCGTAAAAAGAAAACTCGTTATTTGGGATTTACTTCGTAAAAAGAGGGACGTAAATTGAATACTGGGTAAAAAAGACTTCGTAAACGGAGGTTTCAGTGCACAATGGTCCCAAAGCCGTATTTAGGAAGACAAAAATGTTTGCGCGGAAAAGTTTCTTCATATTTTTTTGCCAAGCTTTTCATGTTAGTGAAATAAGGGTGGCCTATTAAATTGATGAATTTAAAATGCGAACTTTTTTTATTGTTTGAGATAGACCAATGCCTCCCTTAGCTCAGTCGGTAAAGGCGCAGCTACAAAGCAAGACCATGCTGGAGGTGGCTGGGTTCAATTCCCGGTCCGGTCTAGGAATTTTTCGGGTTGGAAAATTTTTCGACTTCCCTGGGCATAGAAGTATGATTGGACTTGCCACACAATTATACCATTGCAAAAATGGTGCAGGCATCGAAAGCTCTCAATTAATAACTGTGGAAGTGCATCTATAACACTAAGTTGAGAGCACGCAATAAGCTAATATGCGATATGCAATAAGCTTGAAATGCGAAGAAGAAGAAGAGAAGAAGATGGACCAATGCAATCTTCTAAAAAGTTGCAGATCAATTAATTTACAGCAGCTTTGCGGGAGACACCACATTTCCATCTCTTATAGTTCATAAGTTATGATTTTTTAAACAAGCAGATTAGGGTGGCCCCTGAAAAATTGGTTTTCTATGAATATATTTTCATACGTTCATTTCTTGTAAAAACGATGTTCTAGACACTTTTAGAGTTTTGAATGAAAAATATTTTTGCAGAAGCAACCAAGTTGCTATCTTTTTATTGGAAAGTTAAAGGCGGGTATCTTAAAAAAATGGCACTTTTCAATTGTCAATGTCTGTAAAAGGAGCGAACCGATTTTCATACTTTTAATTCCATTCAAAAGATCCTTGTTGTTGTTCATTTACGGTGCAAAAACCGCGAGAGCAATTTTTGTTTAAAGAATTTTTTTTAGGGGGCGACCCCGGCGTAGTGTTTAGCATCCATACCTCTCACGCCAAAGTCACGAGTTCAAATCTCACCCCCGAACAAGTCACGAATGACCCAAGAGCGTTAAAGTGACTATAGTAAATAAAAAAAAAAAATAAAGCATTTAATTTATTTTTTATTTTAATTCATAATTTTATGCAAAAAAACGGCCTTCACTCTTCAAATAAAGGATATAGTATCTTGATTGCTTTTGCAAAAATGTGTGCCATCAAAAGTTCTAAAAGTGTTTTTAACAAAGTTTTTGCAAGAAATTAATGCATGAAAAGATATTTGTGAAAAAGCGATTTTTTGGTGAGGTTTGGACAGATTATTCCAAAGCATACCACAGTATATTTGAATCTTAGCGTCCATATAAAGCAGTGATAATGGCACCCTCTCTTCACCCCGCACAAAATTCTGGTCCACGGTAGTGCGATTGTCAAACACTCTTTTGTTCCAGTGGGGATGTTGCGTGAAGAAGCTTTAGAGACACGCAACAAATCCATAAGGAAATTCCATGAGTTACATTCTCGCAAATTCAGCCAAAGTGCCAACATCGAGGATGTTTTTAATCGATTGTTACTTACATCTGTTCCGGTTTTATCGTTGATGAACAGAAACAGGAATAATCAAACTGTTGAATCTCTACCCGAAGAAGCTCTTAAACTTTTTATTGCCAACTATTGATACTTATCAAACTTACTAGGTATTTAAACAATAAATATCATAAAACTTATTCTTGCACTTTGTTTTAATATTTATGAATCACCAACATCATTGTTATATTTAATAAGGTTTGTAACACAGTCCCAGTAGGCCATGTTTGATGTTTTATAATATAAGCTTAGGTAATCCTTAGAATAAAGGTTATCTTTAATTATCTTTTAATTATGAATTTAATAAATAAATAAATTAAATACTTTAATCAAAAATCGCTCTCGCAGTTTTCCCACCATACATGTACAAAACAACAATCTTTTGAATGGAATTAAAAGTTTGAAAATCGGTTTGTCCTTTTAAAGACAATGACAATTGAAAAGTGTCTAAAACAACTGTTTATGAGAAATGAACGCATGAAAAGATATTCATAGAAAACAAGAGCTTTGTGTGTGTTGGTTTATTCCCTTTTAATTCCGTTATAATTACTTATCTATTGACAGATACACGTAATTCGTCTACTACTTGCAGACTTCATCAGTGCCAAGTACTCAACACTTCGACGAAATTCGCGTATCTGTCAAAAGATAAGCAATTATAACGGAATTTAAAGGAAATAAAACTACCCACTCAAAGCTCTTCATAAAGGGATTCCGTTAAGAAGTTCGATAAATTTAAAGTAAAGAAAACCAATTTTTAGGGGCCAATCTAACCTGCTTGTTTAAAAAAATCATAACTTATGAACCAAGGAAATTTGGTATCTCCGGAAAGTTGCTGTAACCATCAAGTTCTGCAACTTTTTAGAACATTGCATTGGTATACCTCGAACAATAAAAAAGTTCGCGCTTTCAATTCATCAATTTAATGGACCAACCTAATATCACTAACATGAAAAGATTGGCCAAAAAATATGGAGAAACTTTCCCCAAGACACCATATGCCTAAATCCAACGGTTTTAGCGCAAACATTTTTGTCTTTCGAAATACGGCAGTGTATTACAAGAACAGATTCTGTGATGTGGTCACCGGAAGGTTTTGACATAATTTTGTAATTTTTATGTAAGTTTATTTTTCGAACAAAGTTTGTTTCCCGAAACGCATTGCTTCTGGACAATCAATTCACCATCATCTCATAAAGGCTGGAGATGTACTAGCTAGTTGACTAACAATCTCCTTATTGAAGCTAAACATTAAATCGCGTGGAGGTTTTATATAAAAATATGCATTCCGGAAAACTTGCTTGTGTGCTGCAGTCCAGT